GTTTAAAGGGGCTGCTAATATAGTTTCAAAACAAGTTTGGGTAACCAACATTTGCTTCAGATTGAAAGTTCACACACTTACTTAATGAGGCTGCTGCTGCTGAACAAGGACTCTTGTTTATGTGAGGGTGTCTTAAACCCATGGTTATGTTGGAATTGTACAAAACTCAATCAGGTGGTCCCAACAACCATGCTAGTGTAGATCTGCTCTACTCGGATGTACATACACATATACAGACTGGGCTTGGAGAGCAGTCTGATCATGTTAGAAATGTAGAGTAGGATTTCAGGGTTAGAACCCCGTACCTCTACCAATTAGGATGACATTATTTATCCTTTCTTTTCCTTCTGGCCCTGAGGATTGAACTCAGAGTAGAAAAATGTTCTACTCTAGCCTCACCCCTAGCTCAACGAGGCTGATCTTTACTACAGATTCAGATTGGATTGTTGTTCTTCATTCTCCCATAAAACTAAAATTTAATGTAACCAAATGGCACCTGAAAGCTTGGCTTCTCATTAAGCCAAATTCACTACTCATTAACACCGAAGTTACATAGCAGCACTCAAGGGAGTGATGCAAACCTGGAACTATTTCCTGTTATTCTCCCCAAAGATCATAATGTAGGTCAGCATGACATTCAGAAGAGTGGGAGCGGGGGGCCACATGTAGCTGGGCCAACATCATCTTAGATCGGATGTACAAAAGTTGATGTCATGGTATGAGGACCCCTAACTCTCTGCCATCTCCGGTGGTCCAATGGCAGGGATGTTTCTATCTCCAAGTCCCAGGTAGCCTCTTCTGGGGGAGTTTACCCAGCTTTCTAGGCTGTTGATGTGATGGAGAGTAAAAGGAGTGGTATTGGCTGACCTTTGAGTGTGCAGTGAAGCCATCCAGAATCCCTGAGAGAGAAATGGATTTTTAAATTCATTGGCTTTGAAGACTCCATCTGCCACCTGCCCTGCCAAGGTCAGAGCACGTTGGATGCAGCCCTAAGTGGGCTGCCAGATCTCTGCCGGTTTCAGGGTTCAGTTCTAGCCTGGTCCCTTGGTTCCTGGGCAGTGAGGGGCTTCTGCCGGGCCAGCCTCCCTTCACATTAAATTCCAGCTTCTCCTTACTTCGTCTGTCCTCTCTCTTATACCGTGTGTGTGTGTGTGTGTGTGTGTGTGTGTGTGTGTGTGTGTGTGTGTGTGTGTGCATGTGTGTAAGGGCACACACAATGTGGGCACAGGCGCACACATACACTCATGTCACTCACACTTGCCAAGAGACCTGGGATTTAGCAATGCTTTCACCTTAAAGTAGAATTCTAAAAGGCATTTCAAACAACTTATACATTTACAGCAAATAGGCGCAGTATGCATCTGTGCCCACCTAAGTGTTGAGTGAGCTGCTCCCCTAGTCTGAGTTGATACTGGGCCACAGGCCTGGGCTTCCCTTTCTTTCTCTTCCTCTCCATGACGAACATTACGTTTCCTCGTATGACACAGTGTCAGGAGGAAACACAGCAGCCTGTGAGAATAGGGGATATACAGGATGATCATGGATGAGGACATCACTGAACAGTTTTGTGCTCCCTCGGAGCTGCATTTCACCTAGACTAGGGTGCTCCATCCCCATCAGTGCCATTGAGAGACAGGCACTGCTATGGCCACATTACAAAAGGGCAGAGTCACTAACCAGCATGTGGCAGTCCACCAGTATGAATCTAGGTTCCCCCCCCACCACCACCTGCAAGTTCACTGTGTACACATCTCAGTGCTGCTTATGGCCTCTTCCACCCATATAGTCTCCAACAAAGCATGGCCTACGTCGCATCTGCTTTCATCTCATCCAGTACCATTGCTCCAATTCTGACACGTCCATGTTTATTTTTAAAAAGGGAAGGCACCACTTCCCCTCTCAGGATGGATCTGGACTCCAGAACATTACTTCAAAGAGACAAGGAAGCAACAAGGAAGGAACAAGCCTCTCCTGGCTTGCATTTCATACCGGGAGTGCAAGCATTTCATTTTCTTAGTTCTGCTACAGCAGTTCAGAAACACCCATTGTATTAGCTGAAGTAGTTCTAGCTGCTGCACCAATGACTCCCAAGTTGCAGTACTTTAACCCTGAAGACATGTATTTCTCACTTACATAACTGTTGAACACAGATTTGCAAAAAGCTGAGTACTCAGGACTTAAGAAGCATCTCCCAGGTGACAAAGTTGTTAAGCACTTTCCCTCAGCAGTGGAAGAAGGCTCCAAGGCCTGCTTTCCACCTGCTGCTTTGTAGGACACTGATTATTGCTCAGGACCAGGGCTGCACCACAATGAAGGTACTGCCTATCAGGTTCCCTGCAATACCCTCAGTATTACCCAAGTATCAAGGAAGAAGTGCTGTTTCTCAGCTCCTCTGTACCTCTAGTTGTTACTCCTGTCCCATTTTCTGCCATGGAGCTTTGACACTCCTGATAACAAGTCAGAATTGAAGTTAGCTATGATTTTGATTCTAGTACTAAGAGTACAGGAAGTGTATTAATAATAGCTATTATTATATATATTATATTGCCACTTCTGGTGGCAACCCTGGACACTTTAATGAGCCCACAGATGGACTCCTTTGAGAATTCTATCAGGAAATAAAGAAGTAAGATATGCTTCAGTTAGAGTCAGTCCCATAGCTACTTCTCCAGCAGCTCATAGGTCCTTGGAAGCCTCCCTTAGGGATTAATTTTGACATCAGGAAAGAGAATCTTAGCTTCCATGGCCTAGGGCAGAGACATCTTTTGGGATCTGCAAATGAGAGGAGCCTAGATTATCCTTGAATATAGCAAGAGGTCCTGATGCTTGGAGTCTCTCTTCTGTACCAGTCCTACAATGGAGATGTCTCTTAGTCCTCACGTCTGGTGGGGGCCCCGCAGCCTCTCCACAGCTGCTTTCATACTTCAATCAGAGTCATCTGGTTGAAGGACATGCAGTACAGATGCTCTGTCAAGGGCAGAGGTACCACATTGAGAGAGGCTGTCTAGCTCTGAAAATGGATATAAAAGGAACATGACTGTACTGGGAGAACACAGAGGGATGTTCTCTGCCTGAAGACCATAAACCCTTGGTAAATAACCTTGCTTGGTTTTTGGTGTTCCCATTGCAAGGGGCTCCACTCTTTTGACTTACTAAGAGCAGGAAGGAGACAGGCTTAATGGACAATCTCTTGTAAGCTCAACAAACACCTCTTTCCTTTTAGCACTTTCAATGGACAGCAATCTGATAGTTTAATTCTTTTCTTATTTTTTCTTTTTGGTCTAAGACTGAGACTCAGACTTGGTACCTGATGCTTTTGCTCATTGGCTAGCACTCTATCAACTGTGCCACACTTCCAACTCTAAGCTGTGCACTTTAAAGATTAACTTATGCTCCATCTTCTGTCTCTCTCATTATCTACAAGTTTTACAAGGGAAAAGATAATTTTATATGCCTACATGGCATTGTATTCTCCGAAATGTTATTTGCTGAGTGCAAATTACTCTTCTTGTTTGTGGGACATGAACTCTGTGTGTGGGCACTGTCCCTTAGCTTTTTCACTTAGAGCTAGTGCTCTACCACCTGAACCATATCTCCCCTTATGGCTTTTTTGCTGGTTCATTGGAGATAAGAGTCTCATGCACTTTCTTGCTTAAGCTGGCTTCAAAACATGAACTTCAGCTCTCAGCCTCCTGGATCGTTAGGATTATAGGCATGAACCACCGGTGCCTGGCTGCAAATTACTTCGGAGGAAATAAATGATGAGTGGGAGAACAAGTGAATGAGAAGGGAAAGGGAAATAAATCGAGGAAGGTGGGTGAGTCTGAATGATGGCTGATTGCCTGCAGATATTCATTTCCCTCCCTCTCTCATTAAGAAATGAGAGAAACTTTTGCCCCCTTGACCTTTTACTTTTGGCCAATAGATATGTGATGGTTAGAGCTTAACAGCCATACTGTGCAGTGAGGTAAATACAAGGAAAATTAATTGGCTATGTGCATTATTATTAATTAGTAGCTATGTTCCTACTATCATATAACATGATAATTAACAAAATGGATTCCAAGAAATGAAAACAAGGGTTTTTTATATTACTTTTTGTCTTTTCTTCTTCTTTTTTTTTTTTTCTGTTTTCCCCTTTTGCTGCTATTTTTGATTTCTGTACCTTTTGCCTTCTGTATGTAAGTATGTATGTATGTGAATGTATCTGATTGGGGGAGGGGAAGGGGAAGTACAGAAATGGTGGGACAGGGGTACACAAATGCAGCAGCGATACTCACTAGACACTCACTAGTTGAAAATGAGCTATATAACTTGTAGGGAGTAAAAACTGGGAAAAAGCAAGGGAAGAAGTGACACTGTTAAAAAAAAGAAATGTACTCATTACCTGACTTACGTAACTGTAACCCCTCTGTACATCACCTTTACAATAAAACTTTTACAAATTTAAAAAAAAAACATTGAGACAGCAAAACAGACAGGCAGAAGTCAAGGTCTCTGGTGATCATGGAGTCTGTCACTATGATTTATCACTATGAGAGCCTAGAATGACTTCTTCAGGACTTTTTATACAAAAAAGAAACAAATTTCCATTTCATGTATGTATTATTATTAAATATCTGAAATGGACAGTATCTAACTGACTCAGAATCATGTCAGTACTAGAGTCAGTCTGAGAATTCAAGACTTCTGTCCCAGGCTGGAATTCTTTAAGAAGTCCGGCTCCAGGCAACATTCAACAAACAGCAAGTCCACACTCACTCAGATCTGGCACCAAGTTAGAACATCTTGATCTTTTTGAAGGACAGTACAAGTGAGAGAGGGTCTCTGATACAATGTTCAAAAACCTCAAATTGCCTATAAGTCTCAGTGGCTCCAGGAAACGCTACCACCAGGGTGTAATTTCAGAGCCTGGCTGAATTTCATGCAGGCTGGGGTCTTTGCAATTCCACAAGGCATTTACTGTTCTGCAATGTAAAGCACAGGGGGGTAGCTCTTACCTCCACTAGGGAGTGCCAGTGTGCAATAGGCTTCCGGGGATAGGACAGCATTTCACTCCAGTGCTCTCTGCCCAGCCTCTCAGCTTCGTTGCCTACTTGACACACGCCGATGATCTCATTGTGACCTACACTGTGAAAAGGGCCCACAATAGTTTTTTCTTAAAATTTTGGTATAGAAGAAGAAAATCACACAAAGGGAAACCAAGGATTGGTGAGTCAGGCAGCTCACCAATGGGGTAGGGTGGAGAAGGTGCCTGGGTCCTTTTGCTTTCCCTTTCATTAAAGAATACTGGTATCATGCTCTTCTCTCCTTCCTTCTAAGTTTAGCTTTATTTCTTTGGCCCAACTTGAGTTATCAACTGTACAAAGATACTTAGCTCCTTTAACCTTAGGGTCGATCTCTGGAAAGTTTCCCTAAGTAGGTTTCTGACTTTGTTTAAACAATAACTTATTATTATTGATATTATTGTTGTTGCTAAAAGTCCTTTGCCAAACTGGAAAACTATGGTGTACCCTTTAACAATTTGGGATCCAAACTCACAGACTTTTTTTTTTTCTCTCCTCCCTACCGCGATGAGTAATTTTTGCTGTGTCTGTGTGGAGGTGGTGGAGAGGTAGCGTGTGCAGGATAATCAAGTCTCTACTCATTAAAATCAGATGCACGCAGCAGCCCCTGGATTCTGCCATGGATTTTTTTTTTCCAAGCCAGATTCATGAGTTTACTGATAATTACATCAAGGCAGAGATCACATAATCAGATTTATTGATGCAGGAAACTTGGCAATAGCTTGGAGGATGTTGGCCTAGCTTTACAGTGGGTGGGCAGCAATCCTTCCTACCCCCAGCAGGGACTGACACACACTATAGTATTGCCCAGGAGAGATGGGACCAGGCTATTGCCCAGCATGGGTATCACACCCACAGGAAGCCATGTTGGAACACAGTCATGTTTTGCCCAGGCATCTGTTGGGAAAGTGTTCAGGTCACTGACGCTGCCTTGCTGACATTTCAGAGGCATGTGCAAAGTGTTTTAGCAACCAATAAGATTTGTAAGATTATATTAGAAGTCAGAATGTTTTTTTTTTCCTTTATAACTATGCTCAGACCACGTGGGAGGTTTCTAATTAAAAAGAGACTTTGCATTTCAGTCTAATGACTGGTTTAACATGTATAATTCCCTGTTGGTACTTCCTTTGCATATTAAAATGACTGTATTTTTTTTTCAAATCTGTCCTTTAAATACACAATTGGCTACAATGCAGACTATAAATATCTCTTCTGTGCTGTATTAATTAAAAAGTCTAGCATCTTATACATTTTAATGTACCCTGTCATCCATACTGATTCTAGCATTTTCAAGAGAACATTTCTGTGTTTGCTTTCAGACTTAAGTGGATGGAAATGATCTTTATTAAACACACTGCCAGAAGGGAAAAAAAAGATAGAAGTTATACATTTAGAAATGTTGATAGTCTGGTGTTTAGTGTGGAATCTTTCCCCTAAAGGTAATCCGGATTGCTTGACAGAACCCAAGATTCATGGGGCCACAGTGTCTGAAGTATCAATGTACAGAAATGTGTGTGTGTGTGGGAGAGGTAGGACACAAAGAGGATGGACAGAGAGGAAGATATAGAAGAGAAAAGCAAAGAGTGGAAGAGCTGAGAGGCCCTGTGGCAGTCTGATTTTACCCCACGGTTTGAACAGTGGGGATTCCTGGTCAACCTGCCTTCCATGTGCACTCCTCCTGTCCCTCCCTGTGGCCTGGGACCCCACGGAGCCTTCATCTGTTCCACCTCTGTCCTCCCTTCCCAGGGCACAGTGGGCATCCATGGAAAAGGCGTTCCAGGCATCTCACCGGTCATAGTCCATGACAGCAATGGATAAATGGATTTGGTCAATATTCTCGGGAGGGACATCAAAGACTATGGCTTCGTTGTAAACAGGATTCAGCGTGTTCCTCTTGGTGGACGTTTTTCTCTTCTTCAGTCTCCTGCCATCACACATCAGGGAGACTTTCACGTAAGGATCTGCAGAGACCATGAGAAGCAGTGCTACAGTGAAGATAAATATAGACTATGGGCTTGCATGGTCTATATTGCATCCTTTGCCTATGTGTGGACTGCAGTTTGGGGATGCTAATTAATGTAATAGGCAGTGACTAGTTAGCCTAAATAAGTCATTCATTCAAGAAAAAGTATAGGACAGTGTTCTTTGAAATGTGTGAAATCTAAAAATAGTATGAAAACATCTGCTGCCAAAGTAGAAGATATTATCAATTTCTCTGTCATCTGAAGGAAAATGCACAAACATTTCTAAGGAACGGGAATCAGGCCTCAGGCCTTCAACTCTACTGCATGGGATTTTTTTTTCTAAAATTAGATCTCTTTATTACATTAATGAGGATTGAATCCAGGGCCACCGGCATGCTAGACTAGCACCCTACTAGTCTAGTCACACCCATGACCCCAACCCAAGATTAGGTCTTTAGGAAAGGGAATTCCTACTATTTGGGAGGCAGAGATAGGAAGGATTACATTTCAAGGCCAGCCTGGAAAAAAAGGGAGATTCTATCTTAACAAAGAAACTGGGGGCTGGGAAGGTGGCTCAGTGGTACAGTGCTTGCCTTGCATGCATGAGGCCCTGGGTTTGATTCCTCAGCACCACATAAGCAAAAAGAAAAAAAGCCAGAAGTGGTGCTGTGGTTCTAGTGCTAGAGCGCTAGCTTTGAGCTGAAGAGCTGAGGGACAGCACCCAGGCCCAGAGTTCAGGTTCCACGACCAGAACCACCCCCCCCCAAAAAAAAAACAAAGAAACTGGGCATGGTGGCACCCACTCTGAACCTTAGCTACAAGGAAGGATAGGAGGAGTGTGGTCCAAGGCCATACCAGGCAAAACACACAAGAACTTATCTGAAAAATAGCTACATTAAAAAAGGGCTGAGGGCACAGCAGAAGTGGTAAAGTCTCTGAGTTCAAACTCCAGTACTCAAAAAAGAGGGGAAGAGAATTCCTTGCATCTCAGAGTCTCTGAATTGCTAGAGGGTAGGAAAGTTCTGGGGATGGATGCCCATAAGCAGAAGAAGCCCACAGAACTACCGGTAGTCAATTAACAAAGAGAGAAGCAATTTGTCCATCAGGGAGCAAAAGGACTTAGACCTGCTCCTAGAGCATCTCTGCGATGAGGTGATTAGTGACAAGACTAGCCCCCCCCCACACACACACCCTGATTTCTTACCCCTTCCAGGAGAGGCTTATAAACCAGAGGCCACATCTTTAACTTATAAATCCTCTGGTGTGTGGTATAGTATTTACTGCATATGGTGCTCTTTGATTTCAGCCTATGAGACAATGTGTCCTGGATGTTTGTGACTGTGTTTAGCAGGTTCTGCTAGTAAATTTGTATTGTAGAAATTTCATATTGAGATACTTTTTTTTGGTTAGAATTTATGTTTACATGCTGGATTTGCTGGAAAGACAAAACCAAACTAAACCCTGTGTAGATGACTTCTATAAGGATGCAGGATTGTATGCAATCTTAAATAAGCCTGGGATGGTTATCTGAGAAAAGACTTAACTACATAAGCTTTATCAGCTTGTGGAAACTGTAAATTTAGTTCACACTAATGGTGAGGGAGAATAAAAATAGCTAATGATATGTAGAATTTAGTAGGTACCAGACACTATTTTATTGCTGCATATGTATTAAGCCACTTAATGTCACAACAACACAATGAGCCAGATTCTATGACCATGTCCATTTAACAGGCTGGAAATGGAAGCCCAGAGAGGTTAAGGAACTTACTTGCTCAAGGTCATACAGCTCCTAGGTGGCAGGAATGAGATTAAGCTTAGGAAGTTTGTATCCAGACTCAATATGATTTATCACTATGTTCAAAACTTCATAAGGTGCTTCATTAGACTCTGATGAGAAAGTCTGAATTTTAGGATGGCTCACCTGATGCCCCTGTTATGTCCATTGCCTTTAAATTCCTTGCTTTTATAATGGTAATGGTCAGCCTGCCAGCCGTGGGAAGGTAGCAGAGGGAAAACATCAGCTCTCCAAGATCCACATTGTCCTGTTGAGAAAGCACAAACCTAAGTGTTACAACGTCTTCTTTCTCACACTAAGGAGCTCCATTGCAGGGCAGCACTGGGAGGGGTCACAGGGCTTCCTTAGCTCACCTTCTGAGCCCTTGATGCCTCTTCTGCTCACATCAGTCACATGGAGAGTACATCCCTGCATTCCTGGAGCCTCTCCCCGCCCCACCAAGGAAGTACAACCTATATTTAGATGGCAAAGATGAGGCCATCAGCCACCATCTATGCTTACAGCCTGCATAGTCCCACACGGGTCTCCACAACCCAGAAACACAGCTTGAGATCAGAAGCTTTTCGCAGTCTTAATAATCCTTCATGGACTCCCTCCCCATGTGGTTCCACTCATGTCTTCCCCCTGAAATCCACACAGAGCTCCCAGCTCAAAGCTATGCAGACAGGAGCCTCAGAGGGTGGAGCAGACCCACTCCAGGTCAGGCTCACTCTGCACACGCATCACCTGACTGTGCAGTGTTGCAAACAGGGCCCTACCTCACTCCATCAAGCCCCCTCCGTAGTCACTTCAAATTAGTCACACTATCCACATACAATTCTGCATCCCTCCTCCAGACGGCCCCCCCAGTCCCTACCCCCAGAATACCACACAGAAGCTCTGAAAATCAGCATATTGCTCCCTAAGACTATAATCTTCAACTCCTCATATAGCTCACAAGAAAGGACATTGCATAAGCCCAAGAGAGAATCCATGACACTCCCACGCACCCACACACCTGCCAACATGCCACTTGGACACACCTGGACCCTCGTCTACTCCTGCAGTCTCCACGCAGGGAAAGCATAGTAGAGCCTGGGACCCCAGAAGGCCCTGCTGTCTGCCCCTGATAGTTTGCTACAGCCCTTCTCTTCCTTGGTGTGCCTCTAAGAAGCCCCCATTTCCTCCCCCTGTGGAAAACATCTCCTTAGGCAGAATGCATTCCTTCAAATAGGTCAGAAGGCACAAATCTCCCTCTCTTTTTAGCCCAGGGAGAGTAACATGGGAGAGAGAGAGAGAGAAAAAAAAATAGTTCATTTAGCTTCAGTTTCTGAATGCTACCTGAGGTTATCGAGCTGGGTGCCTGTGTCTAATTAATCCGGTCTCATAGTGACAATGCTCTGGGGAGTCAGGTTTTTGCCCTCAACACCACAGACTCCCTCTTCCTCTTCCCTCCCCTCTTGGATTTTCTGAAGATGCTTCTATTTTTAGAAGCACAGATTCAGCTCTGGAAGGTCACCTCGCCCAACCTCTTCCTCTCACTGCTTCCACAGGAGGAGGCGGCAAAGGGATCTATCTGGCCGCTAAGGCAGATGGGTGTCTGTGTCTCAGTGCATTGCCTCCTGCCTCATGTAAATAAATCATCTCCCTCTAACAGCCCAGGCCTCCCTGGTGCCTGGAGCTCCAATCTCAAGGGAATCACGTGGCTAGACTATGTGTGAGGAGAGGCTAGAAACTAGGGCTAAATCCTGCAGTGGGGAACAGCAATCATTGTCCCAAGAAGAGACTTGAACAGGCTATGCTGTGGAACAGTAGTTCGTTGGCATTTGATGACTATTCTGTGCTTTTCCCCCTGTCTGTTCATGCAAGCCTGGCATGAAGAACATTTAAAATCTGATGAGTATAAACATTCTCTTAAGCCAGTGGTCCTCATTCAAGAGTGATACTGCTCATCTATGGAATATTTGACACTATCTGAGATTATTCTTTTGTACTCTATCACTGAGCCACACCTCTGTCCCTCTTTTTTTGCTGGTTATTTTTTGAGATGGGGGGGGGGGAGGAGTCTTACTTCCAGTCCAGGTACATGCTTGGACCTGTATTCCACCTATTTTTGTCTCTCATCTTAGCTTGGACGACAGATGTATGCTACCACACACCTTCTGTTGAGAGGGCATCTTATGGACTTTTCTCTTCAGAACTGGCTTGGAATTGCTATCTTCTCTATTTCAGACTTCCACAAAACTAGGATGACAGGTGACAACACTGTATCTAGATATTGTTTGGCATCTTGTAAACTTTCTTACTTTTGTTGGCCTTGAATATTGGTCCTCCTGATCTCAGTCTCTCAAGCATAGAGAATTATTTTTTGTTTTGTTTTTTTTTTACAATTATTTTTGAGGGTTTGTTACTGACATCTGGTAGGCAGAGCCCAAGGAGGCTGTAAAATACCATATACGGATTGTACAAAGATGCATAGTTATCTAGTCCAAAATGTGAATGGAGCCAAGGCTGAGAAATTCTATTTTACATAGAAGCATTTAGATTCTTGGTAAAAGCTTTTCTGAAATTCTGTTAAGAGTCAAACATAAAGGAGCCTTAGTATCTGGCTTCTTTTTGAGCTTGACAGGAATCAGATATACAGAAGTGTCACTGGTGGCTGAGAGCCCTGGAGGGCACAAAGGAAAGTAAAATGCTATGGGAAGAAATGCTCCATTTGCTTCTGCATTAGGTGACTAAGATTAATAATGTTAGCCAGATAGAATGGAAATTTATAGTAAGCATGTGTGAACTCTCTACCTGCCAACCTATAACCTCTTTCTGTAGTCTATAGCCTATAATAGCTAAAAATTTTGGCTAACTATTCTACTTGTCTACTCTTTCATTCTTTTAGTGAATTCCTTCCTAACTCCTTGAAATTCTGGAAGGGATGCTGCAGAAATTCAGGCAGATAAAAATATCATGTCTCTGTACTTTTGCTGGGACTAAAGATGAGTATATAACCCAAGTAGGACTGCTTAGAGTTATTCTAGGATTGAACAAATTCAATATTGAGAAAGAGAAATTCTCAACTGATTGAGGTTATATATTAGAACATATGAGACTAAAATTGTAAGGTTTATGTGTTCTATATATTACAAAAAGCATAAACTTGTGTAACCAAAGATCTATACTATACCCAAAAGAAATAACTGAAATCATAAAACAAGAAGTTACAACTGATAAACCTACAAAGCACAAAAATGAATGTTAAAACTATTCAATTAATTCCAGAGAAGACAGGAAGCAGGGGAAGAGGAGGACAACAGCAGAAGTAAAAATCTGGTAGAAATAGAAAATCAATTATACAATGGTAAATTTAAACAAAGTATTCCACAATTCCAGGCCCAAGTTATCCAAACATATAATCCTAGCTACTTAGGAAGCTGTGATCTGCAGGATTATGGTTTGAAGCCAGCCTGGGCAGAAAAGTCTGTGAGACTCTGTCTACAAAATAATCAGTCAAATGGTGGGCTGGTGGTATGGCTCAAGTGGTGGAGCATGAGATGAGCAACTGTGGGGCAATGAATTCAAACTCTGGTACTGAAAAAAAGAGTATTCAATAATTACATTAAATGTAAATGGCCTAAATGTTTACATTCAAAGCTTCTGAAGTTGGACATAGTAGTGCAATTGATTAAAGATGGGATCAAGACTTGAGTCTTCAATAATTTCTGAACTCTTAGATAAGTTCTATAATTTTTTTAGTTCTATGTTTTTATTTCTTCATTTAGAAAATAGAATCATTATATTCAAAAAAGGACTGATTTTTCAAAAGGCTAAAAGAGAAAAAACATTTAGGAAGTGAGGCTGTGTCTCAAGTGGTAGAGCACTTGCCATGAGCTGAAGGACAGTGCCCAGGGCCAGAGTTTAAGCCCCATGATGGACAAAAAACATTTATACAGTAAATACTGTATAGTCCATATATTGTAACTAGTATTACTGTTGGATTGATTATATTTTTTGACTCTCAAAAAAAGCTTAGAAAATGGTACCCTAAAGTGAACTGGCATGCTGAATACTTAGAAGGAAAGATATTGGAAGGGACTTTTCAGGTCTTCTCCCTATTCCCCTTTCTCATGTTAAGAAGATGAAACAAACTAGAATTTCTCAAGTTGGGGGAGGGTCACTGAAATGAGACCCTTTCTCTTCAAAAACCAGACACAAAACCTAGAAACCTTGACCTTTACCGATCTTTCTGTCTTGTAGTTAGCCATGAAAAAAATTCTCCTAGCTGCCTGTCTGAAAATAGACCATCAGACTCTTATTCCAGAAGAGGCCTTGTCTTCTACCTGACAGCAAGGATACCATCCACAGAAAACAACAAGATCTGAACAAACAGGCTTGGAGATCCAGCCCCTCATCATCATTCCCCATTACATCATATCCTTTTGTCCAATCACATTTCTACACACGGTCTATTCTTTATTAAAGATACTATTTCATTCGTAAGGGCTCTCGTGCCACATAAAACTTTGATTAAATACATTTGTTATGCTTCACTTCCATTAATCTGTCTTTGTCAGTTCCTATTTCAGACCTAGCCAGGAACCCTAGAGGGATAAAGAAATGCATCATGCACTATACTTGTCTGTGTATTCTTCAGGGGAAAGGCCCATTTGCAGCCTCTAGCAGGGGCTAGGAGTGGATCAGTCAATAATGTTTGCATTAACGAAGCGAGGCACAAATGAAGGAGAGATATAAGGATCTTTGGAGATGTACTGCACTCTCAGTAGCTGCTTGGGGCTCCTTTGGATCAAATTCCAGTGACTCATCAGGCTAAGGGGCATCTGGTCTCCCTCCCTCCCCTAATCTCACCCACCCCTGCCACCATATTTCCAGAGTTGCTGGCTCCCCAAGAAATCCTGTTCTTACAGAGCCTCTTTCAAAAAGATTTAGCAGCAAAAGTCACTCATTTTTAACAAGTGAAACCCTAGTTACAATATTTCTCTCAAATGTCCTTTATCTTCTCCTGTAAATAATCACATTGATGGCCTAAACTTATTCCACCTGTAACATGGAAGCTGTTAATGATTTGATTTTGTCCTGCTTTCTCAGCAACCCCAATTATATGCCCAATACATCCCCCAGACATGGTAAAACTGGCCAAATAAAGTCCCTTTTCAGCAACAATTTTACAAATAATTATCATGCACTGTTAAAGTAACTGTTGATTGCACTTTATTTATAGGTATTAACATGATTAATTGCATTGGAAGTGTGCCTGGA